CACTTTACAGCCGTCATAAATACACATATACCTGGGTTTGGGGCCATGAATGCCCCTATGGGGTAAAAAAAAGAAGAAAAAGGCTATTAGTGGTGGCGGAGTCATTGGTTTTGATTAAACCTGGTACCATTTGTATCAGGGAGCATATGGCACATGTTGGCAAATCCTGGGCAACTAAAATGATCCATGCTGCGCACAACTCAGTATAAACACAGTACATAAACAATATTGCAGTTTTTTTTCCCCGTTAGCAGCGTATTTTCTACTACTGCAATCAAACTTGTCTTAGAAAGCCATTAGGGAAGTCATATTGTTGTCAAATTACAGATGATGAATTAACGTAGTTAGGAAATCACGTTTCTTCTCTGTGAGGGACACACTGTTAAACTGACTGAGATTTATGCTGTGTTTCACATTTGTCCAAATTTTTCTTCCGCGTGCTGCCAACACTAGTGCTGCTAGTTTGGAGCTAAATTAGACTAAAACAAGTCAGAGAGCCAAATCAAGAGAAGCTGCTCTCATGCTGAGTTTAGCCAATCAGATCCTGTCAATGTGAGAGTTGATATGAACAACATATTTCTGCTCTGTTTAGAAACTGCCACTACAAGTTAATACAACCGATCAGAGCTGGAACACACACATTCAAAAGGTGGACGAGTTACATTCCCCAAAAAACAAGCAGATTTCTGTGGAAAGTGAAGGTCAGACTTTGTGCTCCTTCTCAAAAGACTCTTTATTTCCTCTGTGCCACACAAGTACCTCCATGCACTCTTTTGTCCCCAGCTAGAATAGCGCATGTCTTTAAAAGGAACAGGAAGTGACCTCGGTGACCCCGCACTCCTACACCATGTGACCTGTAGCTACACTCATTCAAACAGCTGTGGCCAGAATCTCACACAACAGTCCAATAAACTGGACACACACAGACACAAAATAATAATAATAATAATACACCTGAGGAAGCACTGACATGATACAGTGTTTGTTGGACAGTTGGAAATAGTGAAGTAACAACCAGGAAATGCCCGACACGACCAGCTGAAGCGGTTATCGAGTGCTTCCCTCTTTTCCAGCTTGAAGCTCGGCGACATCTGTGTGAAGTTTTACATTTGAATTCACACAGCAGACGCTGCGGTCCAAAGTCAACATTGAAATATGACGAGTCAGAGTCAGAGCAGCGTACGGAACAACTCAAACCTCCACAGTCAGAGAGTACACACACTCTAAATGAAAGCTGTATGAAGGAGTTATTTAATATTAAGGCTGTCAAACAATTCATTTTTCTGAACAGATCAATCTCAGGGTGGCTGTGGATTAATCTCAACTAATCATGATTAATCGTTATTGGAATTGATTGGTAACTAATAATTAATCTCTGAGTAGATTAATCTATGTTCCTAAATAGGAATGTGATTCATTTCACTCACCACAGTCCTGGTTAATATTCTCTTTTCAAAATAAAACATATTTTCAACTTTATTCTGTTAGTATTGGATTCTGAAAGATGGATTATTTTGAAAAATTGGCCAATTAGATTCAAAAGGGGAAAATAGGTGTCAATCACACACAATTGACTTTGACCAGAAACTAATAATTAATAATGGATTGTTTCTAACAGAGTTGAAGTACTGTTTGATTGTTTTCTTAATTTTGATAGTTTGTTTTTTTTCCCCAATGATGCGTCTGTAAAGAGCTGACTGTGCAGTTCTCAGTGCTTTACGCTGCAACAATGACTTTCAAAGTAAAATGATCGGCACACATTTGACGTCGTTAAAAAACAGCAACGGTAATTTAATATAAAATGTAACAAAGTGCAGATGATTACGACGCACGCTGCTACTTTATGTGTTGGTCAGCAGGTGTGCTGATGTGCTCAGCAGTGTAGAGTTTCTGTGAGGGGTTGCAGACAGGCTGGAGACAGACACACTAACTACTGCTCATAAAGACTGGAAGTCCCGGCCAACACACTGAGAGACTAATTGGAGAATTTGATCCACTTCACCAATAATCACTTTAATAGCTTATAAATTATCCTGTAATATATGAAGTGTACACAAGAGATTTGGTTTTCATACCTCGCTGGTCGGTGTGGACCGTGTTGGCTGGCTCACAACTACACACTTCCTGTGCACCAGCATGGTTTTCTCATGAGTGGGACATAAACAGTAAGTGCATTTTTTAATTTTGTTGTAAAGAAGCTCAAATGAAATCAAGACGCCACAGTTATCTTAGCGCTGCGAGGCAAAGTCCCCGCAGCCATTTCTCTAAATATCTTACTTTTGTGAAGTGGCCGCCCATTTCCCGTAAAGACAAGGGGTGGGCTCTCTGCACCCTCACTGCCAATGAAACGTGTCCTAAATGTCTACATGTCCTACACCATCTAATTCACGGGCAATTTGGAGAAATGATTTATGAGAATTGGGGATAAAAAAAATAGACAATGTGAAAGACGCCGCAGGTTTTATTCAGAACATATGTCAGGAAAAACTGGGAAGAGGCGATGCAGATCAGAAGAAAATATAACAAGCAGACGCCAACATCGCATACTTTTGATGCGAGGATGATGAGCTGGACTTCAGGAAAACATTTTGAATCTTCTAAAAACAGACTTCTTGTGCTGAAAATAAACCAGGAATGAAACCACAGTCCTCTGGTGAAATGCTAATATCATGTATTACAAATGTCTCCGCAAAAATGGCAGTTACAAACCCATGATAGCAGCTGATGGTTAAAGGACCAATGACTTTCAGCTGGACACCGTGACTAATGTGAACGTGAACGTGGAGAGCCACTGAGAGAAACCACTGCCTGCGATTCGGTGTCCGAAAGAAACGAGGCGAAAAATCTGGAAACACTTAAACTCTCTTCATACTCCTGACATTAGGAATGAGTGCGACCAAAGGCCAAACACACCCTGATACATTTTGGACTAATTGTTTCCTTCAGCCTCCAACGCTCTCCCTTCAACGTATTCAAAATGACTTTCCTTCTCCGCTCACCGTTCAAACCCTCCATCTCTGTGTGTCCACTAATAGGTTTAAATAAAACCAGAAATTGGTCTAGTAAACCCCTCATTATTGGTGTTTTAATAGAACGAGTTTGGGATAGCACGGGGCCAAAGGTCAATGGGAGGTCCTAACGCAGAGCAGCTGTCACGAAGGTGATTGGAACCAGCGCCGTCAAACATCCCTGGGTCCTTGACCTCGGCTAAATGGACGAACTGGGAAACGTATTTGGCCACATACCAGAAAAAAAAATCATCCACCGTCCCACGTGGAGAGAGGATGGGGTGAGAACTAGAGGGGGAGGCTAGGTACTCTCTTCACTTCACGGTCTGTGTGTGAGAGAGAAAGACAGAAAGAGTACCTGGAAGTGTTTTTTTAAATGTATCAATACTTGGTCCAGTCACTTTGCCAGAAATGTGAACTCTCTCAGACTGATGTTGAAATTTTGAATCAATTAATCTGATTTTAATAATCTAAACATTTTGAAAAACTTCTTTTATCAATTTATCTTTGTCAAATGATGGGCCATGTCGAAAATAGAACATTTTGAAAACGGAGCTAACATCAGGTTTTAACTGATGGAAATAGGTTTAAACTCAAGACATCTTAAAAGAACTTTAAGTTTTAGTTTTAGTCCCAGCGCCAAAATTCTTCCAAGAAGGAATTCTTCAAGGAAACACAGTTTACAGAAGTATAAAGATGCTGATGCAGCACGTGCAGAAAAATGAGCTTTATAATCTAACAAATAAAGATTTCTTCTTAGGTAATCCATGCCGTTGTGGGGAGTTTCACATTCATGATCGAATGTTACTGTAACCACGATCCCTAAACTTTTTTAGCTGCATTCTGTGGAGCTGTAAATTCTGCACTAATTACCTTCTTTCCGAGTGTGTGTGAAACCAAAGATAGCTGTGGTCTGGTTCATGTGGTGCAGCAGGGAATTACAGCTTGTTAGCGGCGCAGCAGCTTGTTCCACATGTGGTCGGCCACTGGTCGGGTTTGTCTGGGTGAGAGGCAGGACATGCCACTCTGCACAGTTCACAAAGTTTACAATGAGTTAATGTGCAATTAGTCAGATTACTCAACACGACGAGAGTCCGGTTGGTCCACTTCCTGAATGATGGGACTGGAGAACTAACGTTAGTGGCACAAAAAAAAGTGTATTTTTGTGTTTATTTAGAGGCAAATTAAATTCTCTAAATCTGTTTTAACATATTTACAAGAGAATCAAAAAAGTTCAACAGAGGAAAGGTTTTTCCTGACATTTTCAAACACGTAATATTTCGACAGGTTCCTCAAACAGAAGGTTAACAGGTGAAACACCTGTGGTGTCAGGTTTTGGCAGAAACGGAACAAAACAGCATCAACAACTGCGTTAGCCAGATAGGTTTAACTTCACCAACTGATCAGACGTGTTTTTACAGGATTGTGATATTTAAAATCTTCTCAAGCGTCTGAATCTCACATATAATCGTGGCAGCACATCTGAAGCGTCAACAGATTTTTTTGGGGGGGTTATTTTTTGGACTGTCCTGCCTGTTTTATTGAACACATTCTTCTGAATAACTGGACCAGAGTGAACACAGACACAGAGACCAAAGGCGGACAGAACCCTCTGGGTGACTGTGTAATTTAATTTTTTATGCACATTAGAAGTCAGGCAGTATAATTTACACGCAGATTAAAAGTGACTTGGACTCAGGGGGAGAAGAGAGCAAACATATTCCTGAGCCTTGAATTAATATGAAAATCTGTCCCTGCATCTGTTATTTGAAAAGTAAGAAAATTAAAGCTTTCCTGTGGTGATTTAGTTTTTTGTTGTTTTTTTTTTGTCAAAAACAGATACTATTTTTTGAATGATCCAATCACAATCATAAAGCAACAGTGCAACATTTATTATTATTAATAATAATTAAGTTTTTTTGCTTCTGGGTTTGGAGGCTTAAATTTGAAATGTGTTTAATAATATTACTACAGTGTTTTTGTGTATTGAAGTGAATCCTTAAAACTTTAAATTCAATAAAATGGTATTTACAATAAAAAAAAAGCAAAGCAAACAAACCTTTACACCCCAGGTGAACTACTGACTGAGTCACATCTGCTGAGTCATAATTAGTGATTAATTAATTTTGGAACAGTAAAAAGTGCACGTTTTATCCACCATAAATAACAACAAAACTTTGTCAACCAAAGCACTACGGTCATAAAGCTCATATTCAAACCTCCACCAATGGCAGGACACGTGGGGATTTCTCTCGGCCAATCCGACGTGGAAGGTGGAGTGACGGTTTAAAACTCCAACTCTCAGCGCCGCTCCTGTCTCCTGTCAGTGGAGAACTGGACCAGCCATAAAAGAGAGAAGCAGAAGGAAAACAGCGAACGGTTGTTGACACTGACGCGGTTGAAGGGATTTACTGTGGCGCACTGTGCGTAAAAACGCGCGCCGGGCTCCGTGCGCCTGAATTCACCTGTTTTATTTACCTTTTTTTTGACATTTTTATTGTCTGGCTTTCACTTGTGTTTTCCTGCTCTCGTCGTCGATCGATTAAATAATGTTAAAAATGACAGAGGAGCACGACAAGTGTGGCAGCGACCAGCCCTGCAGCCCCTCAGGCACCAACAGCTCCATGTCTCAGGACGAGTCCGACTCGGACGCTCCATCCTCACCGATTGGATCCGACGGCCAGGGTTTGGGCAAGAAACTGGACTGCGAGGATGACGACCGGTTCCCTGCGTGCATACGGGAAGCCGTTTCCCAGGTGCTGAAGGGATACGATTGGTCCCTGGTGCCCATGCCTGTGAGGGGGAACGGATCCATGAAGTCCAAGCCTCATGTCAAAAGACCCATGAATGCGTTCATGGTCTGGGCGCAGGCGGCCCGCAGGAAGCTGGCGGACCAGTATCCTCATCTGCACAACGCCGAGCTCAGCAAGACTCTGGGAAAACTGTGGCGGTGAGAAGGAATTAAAATACAACAAAAGATCCAGTTATTTATCATAAAACTCAACAACGTGGTTAAATATTGTGACATGGAGTTATTCAACTTTTTCAGGCCAAAAATAAAACTTATCAGAAAATGTTGTTTAACTTTCACAATTTTTGCAGGGAAATAAATTTAGAGGAACTATATTTTCAATTGTCTGTGTCACATATATGGAACACATTCTGGAAAATATTTATATGTTTTTTTTAAAATGTATTTCTTTTATAATAGCTTGCTCTCAGAGAGTGAAAAAAGACCTTTTGTGGACGAAGCAGAGAGGCTCCGGGTCCAGCACAAGAAAGACCATCCGGACTATAAGTACCAGCCACGGAGACGAAAGAATGTGAAACCCGGCCAGAGCGACTCCGACTCCGGAGCAGAACTGGCACATCACATGTATAAAGCCGAACCAGGAATGGGGGTTCTGGCAGGACTAACAGACGGACACCACCACCACCACCACCCTGAACAGACAGGTCTGTGGTCAATTTTAACTCCAGAAATAATAAAACAAGAGCTGTGTCTGTTAATGACTTTATTCAGAAATAGTTTCAGACTTGGTTGGTTATTATTCTTAAATAATTAAGCAGCTTTATGTCCCTCCTCAGGTCAGCCTCATGGTCCTCCTACACCTCCAACTACTCCCAAGACAGACCTGCACCACGGGGTGAAGCAGGATCTGAAACATGAAGGCCGCCGCCTCGTCGACAGCAGCAGGCAAAACATCGACTTCAGCAACGTCGACATCTCTGAGCTCAGCACCGATGTCATCAGCAACATGGAGACCTTCGACGTGCACGAGTTCGACCAGTACCTTCCGCTTAACGGCCACGCCGCCAACCCCTCGTCTCTGCCCCCCGACCACAGCCACGGGCAGGCCGCGGCGCCGGGCGGCTCCTACACTTCCTCCTATGGCCACGCGGGCGTCAACGGGTCGGTGTGGAGTCGCAAAGGTGTCATGTCCTCGTCAACTTCCGCCGCCAGTGATGTCTCCCAGCACCGCCTCCATATCAAAACAGAGCAGCTGAGCCCCAGCCACTACAGCGAGCCTTCACACGGGTCACCGTCACACTCTGATTACGGCTCCTACAGCAGCCAAGTCTGTGTGACGTCTGCAGCGTCGGCTGCCTCGGCCGCAGCCTCCTTCTCCAGCTCACAGTGTGACTATACTGACCTCCAGAGCTCCAACTATTACAACCCTTACTCCGGCTACCCGTCCAGCCTCTACCAGTACCCTTACTTCCACTCGTCCAGGCGACCCTACAGCAGCCCCATCCTCAACAGTCTGTCCATGGCACCGGCCCACAGCCCCACCGCCTCCAGCTGGGACCAGCCGGTCTACACCACGCTGTCTCGACCTTAAGGAGACAGGAAACGGTCAAGGCCAGACTCTTTAATTAACGCACCTAGAATGAAAGGATGTACAGTGAGGTGCACGCGGAGGTGATCCGTAAGAGAGGTGCGGGGTGGGGGGGGGGGTCGTAGGTCATCTGTGACAATTTGAACGTGAAACAAACGGGGGGATAAAATAAAAAGTGCCTGCTGATTTTATACAAAGTTATATAAAAAAAACACACGCGAGACATTTTACAAAGAGAAACGGTGTTGTTGGCGAGCCAGACTCCTCCATGAGGACATGTCGCCTACGCCTAAATCCCCTCTACACCCCCCCCATCTTTCCACTTTAGGATTGCACGTATGCGCACACTTGAGGTAAAGCAAAGGCCTGCCACTGAGCTGTGTAGGAGAGAAACAGTTTGGCCCAAATTTGCTGTGAAGCAGATGGAGAAGCAGATAGATGGGAGAGTATGCAGCACACAGGACCAATTATGTAAATTTGCAGAAAAAAAATTTACATTAATGGCCAGCGCTGTATCGCAACTCAGTTGACCATTTGCATCGATGGATATGTCTTAACTAAATGGGCTCATTTGAATCGTACGGTGTTGTTTTGGCAAATATGTATTTATGTTCAAGCATTATTATTATTATTATTTTCTGTTTTCTATTTTTCTTGTTCAGTAGATAAACACATTTAATGTGAGGTCGGATTTTACACAGTTCCCTTTGGCTCTTATGAAAAAAAACAAAAAAAAAAAACATCATTCGATACCATTCCGTTTGAGACTAATACTTAGTCCAGTTTCCAACTTTTCCTGACATCATTCCCGGACCAACATACTTGCTCAGGACAGAACAGGTGTCTGACATCTACGCTTGGCAAATTGCAATTAGTCATGATCCAGGGTTAAAGGAAATGGGGTAAAACAACACCACACTCTCTGAGTGACACGTCAGCTGGAGCCTGCGTACATGTGGACGGGCGATGCACGCGTGTGTGTACGTACAAACATTTGTGTGTGAGTGTGTGTGTGTGTGTGTCAGGGAGATTTACTGCAGCCCTGTGTTGGTACATTTTTTGGATGGTGGGCTGATAAATGTCCCAGGGCAGAGCCGTGATGCCTGAAGTAAAAAAAAAAAATTAACAAAAAGTTTTGCTTTTTATTATTTTGTGCAGAGTAGAGGAAGGAGTAATGAAGTGTGTGTGTGTGTTTAGCCCATAATGATGTCACCTCTCCCGGGCGACCCCATGCGAAGAGCGCTCTCTGCCGTCTAACGCTTACCGTCAGTGTCCCGGCACAGAGGCGAATAATTAACAGCACACGTCCACGACACTCAGTCCTGCAGTTACCCCCCTCAAGTCCTGGTCGTATTCCTAATTTAAATATATTCCTTAATTTGACGTCATTCCTTCAACGCTATGTCTTAAGTGTTCTGTGATCTGCTGTATGGACGAGAAACAAAGAAACATACAGAGAGAGTTCATTTGTGCTTTTGTTCACACAGCTGTGTTTTCTTGTATATTACTTTGCTGTATCATTTTGAGAAAGGCTGTGAAATTTATGGTTGTTTCTATTAACTCTGGTTTCGTTGACACGTGCACAGCTAACCCGTTCGCTGGCCTTTTTTTTTTTTTTAATAAAAATACTTTTCTTCACGTCTTTGCTTTTATTTGTTATTTATTGGTCTCCACTTACAATAGAGACAAAGTGAAATATTTTTTTATTTTGCTAAAGAAAAATGAAAACCAGAAGACATGGAAATCCCTGATGTCATCCTGTAAGATTTAGTATCAACAACGTTTTATTTTTTCCCTCTTCTCTTTCTTTGTGACATTTAAGGTCTTCGATTGACACTTCACCTGTTGTTTTACATTCATTTCCAATACAGAAATGTAGATACAATGTTCTTATCAAACCAAAGACAGAAGATCGAGGAGAGATCAGATCCCCAGTGGGCCACACAGGCCGGATTGCCCAAGTCGGCCATGGCACGAATGCCAAGCAGCCGTCCCCAACCAGCCCAGGGAGAAGCTGAGTGCCAGGGCCGCACTGCTGAATTTTAATGATTCATTATGTTTTGGAGGGGCCCCATTGTGTCCTTTTATCCGGAGAGGTAGAAAGGAATTAATTGGACAGAAAATGGAAGGGCAAGGGGAACTGACAAGCCATTAAGAGGATCCTGAATGGACGATTAGATGCACAAGGGGGAGGACCCCCGCCCTTCAACCCCGACTGTCTTATATCACAACGCTTCGCAAACAAAACAAACTAAACAAAAAAAAAACAACAAGAATGACCAACACAATGACCACTCCACCAATCTGTAGGACTGGTATCAGTGCACATATTCTGTAGATAATAAAAGAAGATAATACCACAGCAGATGGGGTGTGGGTGGCTCAAGAACGACTTGTTGTTTTTCTTCTCTCAAAGTCTCTTTTTTTCTCTACTGTTTGCCAAATACTTTCAGGAGGAACTCTTGAGAAAGAACAGGAGTGAATAAAAGTGAGGCAAAAAGGCCCTTCAGGGTGCTTGGGTCCTGTTTCCCTGGAACTGCTCCACGGTCTCTGATTGGGCCTCCCAGAAGCCTTACTGTAAATAAAAAAAAAAGGAAAAATAGACTTGGGAATTGTTATTTTCAAACAAACTGAATGAAACAATGAAATGATGAATGAAGAATAAAAATAACAATGGCAAAAATGTTCCCTCTGAAATTTCCACCTGTGATCACATGGTTTGATGAACCAGTTTTAACACAGGCTGCCACCACCACGCACTGATATCAAACTGATGTACACAACCGAGATTAAAGTTGGACACGGTTTACAGTAAAACATTTTTTAACTGCCAAATTCCAGCTGTCAGACTTGATGGAGGGAGGAGAGAGTGGTGGCCCTGACTCAGAGGACATGTGGGGGGAATCATGGAGAAGCCACAGATCCTGGTGCGTTCACCACCTGACCACATCCCATTGTTAAGAGCCGGATAACTGGCCTGGTGAATTGTCTCATCCCGTCTAATGAGCCCGGCTGACTCAGGGCATGTTTTGGGAGGGGGAGGGAGGGGTAAGGAGGGGAGGGCAGTGCTGGGAAACTGTGAAAACTCTGAGAGCGTGAAGCTGATTTGCAAGTGAAATGAAGTGGATGTTAACAGTGTTTACTGCCTGTCGGTGGAGCTGTTCGGTCGATACAAGTCCTGACAGGTCTGAGTATTTAACCACATTGTTTTTTATTTCAATTCTCTACAGTTTGTTGTGTCACCTGATCCTGAGGTCATCATCGTAGTCAAACCCCAGAGGCACGGGTTGCGTCGGGGAAGCGCTTGCCGTACAACCGTGGTCGCTGCAGTATTTCACACGGCGGTTTAAAGAAAATACACTCAACTATATTTTAGTTGCTCTGCCCAAGTTAATGACTTCCTGAAGCTTATTCTGCCCGCTCTCCTTGTTCTTCACACTAAATAAAGCAGCCCATTTTATTATTAGTGTCTCCAGTGTTTGCTGGCACGATGGGGCCAAGGAAAACAGGGTGGCAGACAGAACCAACATTGGCTTTCCCAGTTCCTCACTGATGGGCCCACTGAGAGAAGAAAGGAGGAACCTGAACTGCCAACACTCCGTCTCAGAGAGCAGCACTAAATTGATGTTGGCTCCTTTAAGGCCACCTACCAGCGGCCAGCAGGACTTCCATCAAGCAGTTTTTGAAATGAACTGGTTTGAACTTCGTCTAATTTAGCTTAATAGTGGGTTAAAATAAACTTAAAAAGAAAGTTACAAAACCCAGAACACGGAGTGGAGCTGTCACTGGAGTTGTAATACATCTGTATTCACGTGTTAGGACAGAATGTGTAAAATACATTTTCAGAAAAATATTCTACACTTTTAATTAAAAGATGAATTAAAAAAGAAATTGATTTAAAAGAAAATACATTTCATAAATACAAAAATAATTTAATTAAAAGTTGGGACAAAATATGGCTGTGGTTTTATCAGTTGTGTGGCCCAGACTTCCCAGGGAAAAGACTTCCTTTTCTTTGCTTGGTTTCCATGTGAATTCAAATTCATGCCTTTGCATAAATGGATCTTTCATATTTCATATATGCAGATACTGACGCCATTGCAACTACTCACCTTCAGAGATAGTGGCTGTTGCAGACTTCTGAATAATGTTAACACTGTAGAAATACTGTTTATTTATGGGTGAAATAATGAGACTGTTTTTTCTCAAAATTTCAATTATTTGTCCCTCTTGAAAAAGAAAATTTAGTAGAATATAACTAGATATTTCAGGTGACCCCACTTTAGACCATATGAATAAAAAGCTGAATAACACAGTTTGAACTTTACAATCTGACCTGTCAGATTGGTATGAAATCAATGGCATCATTGTGTACAATGATAAATAAAACCAATGTTGCAACTGGTGTGTAACACAGTGATAGTGACTGTGTGAGAGAACCTCCAACATTGATTTTTTTTTTTTTAAATCAGAGCGAAGATTAATAATTAGGATGAAAAATTACAGCAACGATCTGACATCTGGTCTGTTCTCTGAACAGTTGTCCACAGTCTTTCACTTTCTTTTTTCATTTGTTCTCTCCTTTTCACTTGTTTTTGGCACCTCGTCTTTGTGAACGAGGTGACAGCGTCGCTGCTCGTCTTATTTCTACAGCCTGTTGATTGGCCGTCCACGTCGGTGTCTCATCCTCACAGCTTCCTGCTTTTGTTGAACCGTGGCGACGTTCCATCGCAGCGTACTTCCTGCGTCTTCACCTGGAATTATTTACCTTGTTGCTTTTTAAACTTCACACTTTTCTTATTTGTCCAGTAGAGTGAGACTGGAGGGACTTTTGTGATTGGCAGCCAATGACAACCATTGTCTGCACTTCAGTGAATTATATGGAAGAACTACAGCTCTTTAATGTAGACTTTGCAGTTATTTAGCAAATACACAGTACAAGAGGAGTTGATGAAAATTGGTATTGACATTTTTTGTATGTAACTAAGGTAAATTATGGTAATACAGTACAAATCCCCCAACAACAGACTTGTTTGCATCAACATATTACTCTTAAAGTTACTTCCGAGTCAGAGGAGAAGCCTGTTAGACCCGGGAGTGTAGCGTGTGGGGGAAAAACATATTTTTTTACGTTTCTGAAGTAGAAACCTACATAAAAACTACATAATAAAGAGACAGGACATGAGAGAACAGTCAGGGCTCAGGTAAAACAAAAAGATATAAACTGTCTCTCTCCTCGATTCCTCTCGTTGTGAGGATCTTCTTGGCAGAAGGTACAGCAGAGGGACAGCAGGACGAGTTTTAAAACGTTGCTCAATGTTGGCACCGCCTTGTGTGAGTGCACTCTGTGGGAGCACCGAATCTCATCCCCCAGTGCAACATGGCGATTCAGACGAGTCCACCGAATCCCACTCACCCCACAGCCCGTGTTCAGGGTTTCTACTTCGACTACAAGCTCCATTCTGACGAACCCAAACACTTCAAGGCCGCGAGGAATGCATTTCAAAACCATGTCTGGGCTGCCACACTTTCTCCGCCTTCTGGGACAATTTAAAACGGACAGAACACCGCAACATATTAGGTGACCATTGCAATATTTGTTTAATATGCGCATGATCAGCAACACATGTCTGTCCTCTCACACTTGATATCTTTTGTGGTGTGACGAAGAGCAGGGCAGAGTAGTGGGTGGGTAAAGAGTAGGTAAGAGTTTATTCTCCCATGTGGTTTTGGCCCGTCGAGGGGCTTGGAGCCGGGCCAGTCTATCCCTGCTCCAGCCTTTGATATGGATGGGCTTCATTATGTAACTAAATCTATTGTCGAAGAATAAAACAATACGCATGGGGCCAGCAGGAGAGGTGTGTGTGCGTGTGAATGTGTGTGAACCTAAAATGGAAGCGGATGAGAAAGCATTTGAACAACCTCCTTCACTTTCCCACTGTCCACCCTGACCCACACTTTCTCAGTTGTGTTTTTAAAATTAGCTTTCATTGTTTACTTTGTTTGTTTCCTTGTTTGCTTCTCTTTGATCCGATTTACTAAGTACTGTAATATCAAATCTCTAACTGCGGCTTCATGCGTGTTATCTCCTACACAAGGTTAAGTGAAGTTGAAACAAGCCTCTGCAACTGTCTGTACAAGTTTCAGCGTTACGCCATATTAAGTTTTGTTCCATCAAAAATGAACTTTTTAACTCATATCACGAAATGAAAAAAATGTATACTCAATTCTTCATTAAATGTATTTGAGTGTATGGAGTTCATATAAAAGAATTAGCTCTAACAGTCGTTTGCATTTGACCGTATGGTCTACTGGTAAAACACAAAAAGTCCAAGAAAGTCTAGCAAAAATATTTTTGTTAGCCAAACTATATAAACAAATGGGCAAAAAAAGATAAAAGTGTTTCAGCCAAATGTTGAAAACCGAGGGGTTAGCCAATGAAGTTAAGGAAAGACTTTATAGAACAATGCCCTGGTAAATGCCCTTATTGCCCCTGAGGCCTGTTTCACAGTGAAGACATTTACACTTTTGTTGGTCACTTGAGTTCAGCGCAGACTGTGCTACAACAAAAGAACCCCAGCGTGGTCAGAGACACCACCCACGGCAGAACGTTCTGGCGCCTTTACTGTGTCCCACCAAGTTGCTTGCACTCATCGTCCTGGTGTCCCAGCAGGGGGCATAAATGTGACTGTATTGTGGCTTCAGAGAAACAGTGTCTGCTCTCTGTCACTGCAGCGTTGGACGGGAGCAGTTTGATTTGACTGCAGCAGTTAAATGCATGACCATGCAAATGCGGGCAGGTATTTTTGGACCAGCAGAGGTGGAAGGTGATTTCAATACATTAAAATAAGTTCAATGTGTTTGCTGCGGAGACAAGGATAAAAGATCATCTGAGATAAAATTCACTCTTTTACAGGAACGTTGACACGTTCACGGCTTTCACTTCAAAGTCTGGCTTATGTCCAGAACGTACAGAAGAGTTTGAATAATGACAGATAGTCATAGACGACTAAATGGGTGGTAGCTAAATAGCAACATGATCATTATTTTTAGTAAAAATTCATTAAATTCCCTTTGTTCAACGTGAAACCCTATTTTATTAAATAAAAATGGGTCGTATCTTACAGAAAAACCAAATCCCTCAGAATTTGGATATACAAAATAAGTGAAAGTTTCAGAGAGTCAGGTGAAAGCAGAAGCTGCTGCTGAATGGGGTTTTAAAAACATATTTCTTTAACACAATCCATTTCTTGATTTAAAAAAAAAATCATGGATTGAGGGAGATATTCCTTAACATTCTTCAGAAATATTGTCAGTGACTGTGACTGAAGCACCGTGACCGAGCTGAAAACACAATTTAACTGTTCTAAGTAGATCCATGTCCATTTGTCAGCAGCTTGGGAAAAACAGAGTTTGGAACCTTTGTGCCAGTGGTGAACAGGAACAGCAACACCGTGGATGTTCCTGCAAAACTAGAAAGAGAGTAAACTGAGACTAAAAAGAGTTTCTGAATGGTACAAATGGTACAAAAATGTGTCATCAAAACTAAAGGGCGGTGACCTCTTTGACTGGGTTACATGTTATGTTTAAAAAATAGCATCAAGCTACTGATTCCTTGTGTCTGACAAACTAGGATTTGAAGTCACAGACAACAGTTTAATGTACCTATAGAAACAGTTCCAGCTTTTCCTGGAAATGAAGTTTGTCGTTGATCTCAGTCCAGGTACAGTAAGCTCTCAAAGGTGGAGCTGGTGTGTGTGAGACTCAACCTTGACCAAAGACAGAGCTTCATGGAGTCCAACTCTGGTTCTCTACCCTTTTGCCCCTCTCCCCCTGCGGCAATTTTTTAGGATAACATTTGCTTTGGTTAACGTCCACTGGTTTCTGACAACAATCATCCCTCAGTGACAATCATAATCACAGGATTTCGTAGAATAACAGCTACAGTGTTTGACAGCGCTCTGTTGGCTTTTAAGGAAGTCCATGAGTTAGTATTATACAGACAATAAGTCAAACAGGGCCAGAGAGCTGAGGTTTAAACCCTTTTAGTTCCTGAAAAACAACAACATTGACATCATGTTGTTGTAACTACTTTTACTGGTTATGCAGTACAAAAGAAGTAAAATAAGTTCGATTTTACCCTTGACTAACACATTCTCCAACCTAAAGAACATTCCTGAACGCTCCATCATCCTGGTGGCCCTGAACGACCCGCTCCCAGCTGGTACCGTCACCCTTCAGTAGGAGAGAACACTGCAAGAAAAAAAAATCACTATTTGTCTTAATGAGCCCTGATGTCACATGTGCTGAAGGAACGACAGTGTCCACTTTTCAAAGGCCTGAGACAAGGATGAAAGGACACGAAGGACGTTGTAAAAACCAAGCTGAGCTACTGCCGGGATGCAGGAAGGGTGACATCGTCAAGTCTCATCCTGCGCCAGCAAGGAGGTCTATTCAGTGTCAGGGCTAAAGAGTTTGAACTTTGACCCTTTACAGGCAGGCAGCCTGGAGCTTGAATGGCTCCGCTGCTGCCTGTCTGCTTTTATGGCTTCATGGAAGAGGCGGAGGAGTAGGTGTGATGGTAATAGTGATACTGATTGTACTAGTGATTCATTTGAGCTTATTTAAGATTTTTTTTCTGTATGTCTCCGAAGCTGACATGACCATAATTGTACAGTATCTCTGCTGGATGACGTGCCACAGTGAGTCTGTGCCACCTGGTAATGTTTAAAATTGGGGCAGTGAATGCAGCAATTGTCGTGTAGTGTTTGAAAACCGAGAATTTACTGGCAAAAATCAGGGACGGATCATGAGAGGAATTCAAAAGAAAAGAAAAAAAAAACACTAAAGGAAACTGGATGATTTAGTTTTTTAAGGTTAAACGAGGACACGCTGTCAGGTCTGTCTGTTCCTGCTGTCTGCTCAGGGCTTAATCAGTGTGATCACGCTCACCTGTGTCTCTGTCATTAGTCTCACTGGTGTCACCTGGTCTCAGCCACACTCTGTCTTGGTGGGATCATCGTGTTGTACCTGTTTGTGAGTTTCCTGTTCTGTGTTTCCTGGTAGTTTGTGCCTGGTCCTGTTTTGTTAATAAACCTGCCACACCTGAAGAAGGTCTCCCTGGTATCACATTTCTGTCCTGCCTGCTTCCACGATGTCCACACGTAAGACACACTTTATAAAAACAGCCCTGAGCCACAGTTTGATTTTGTTAACGTGATTGAAATCCTGCTGTGACCTTTTTATAGGTGTATGTCATGAGGATTTGAAAATATATATATTTTTACTTACTATATTTCAAATATACTATAATATACATCAAAATTCAAATATTTTTTATATATTTATATTTTTAGTGAGTATTTTTGCACACATTTATACATGTACAGTAAATTAAGTGTGTGTACGTTTTTTTGTTTGTTTGTTTGTTTTTCCTGGCCTGTACGAATGTATGAACGTGAAGCTGATCTGCCAGGATGGGACTAATCCTGTGTTGGCGGGGGTGAGGGCAGGGGCAGCACATGTGCAGATCTTTCAGCCGTGGTTTGTAATGTTTAGTCTTGCTTCGTCAGCAGTTTCTTGATCTCTGTCCAGAAAAGCTTTCAGTCTATCATATTTCTTGTCTCCTGAAGCCCCTGTGCCCTTACTGCCTACGGGGCATTAAAGGATAATATTTAAAAAAAATCCAAATTATCATTAAAACGTCACATTGCTCTTCTACAAGGTAGTGAAAATCATGTTTGACTGTGCTCTGCAGGGATTTTCCCCAATATCAGCCCCCGAGCCTTCTGACTGTGAAGGTTGGCAGAGTGGCGACCGTGATGTCACCTGCTCTCTGGGCTTCACGGACTCTTGTCCCCAGTTCTCCTCTCAAATATTCGGAGGGCAGATGATTTGACTTGCAAACGTGTCTGATCCGGCAGCAGTGTTCAGGGGGTTTACCTCCGATTTATGGGCAAAGGTCAAAGCACCATCTGTAGAGAGGATGTCAGGCTGATGCATGTCACGCCGTCGTGCCTGTTTAGTTGTATATTTGAAAATAATGTGGCAGCAATAAAATAAAAATTAGTTTATTTGTCTTGATATATTCTGAGTGCAGAATATAAGATATATTTTTTATTTCTTCGCTGCTAACCAGTTGTTTACTGTTGTGAGATGATAAACGAACTAAAACGACCGTCTTTACATCCACCGTCCACTGTCTGCTGTGCTGCTACAACAACACGGTGGCCAAACAGGGGACAACTGCTCAGCACAGTAATAACTTTTGCTTTCTTGGCTCCAGCAGCTGTCCCGTCGTCCGGGCCTCACTTCATAACAACAGCTGAGGCTCAATCTCTGACTTACAGCAAACTCCTTAGCACGAGAAGCAACATAACCTTCAACATAACCCCCCCCCCCACTCCCCCCTCACTATTAGCCTAATGAAAACCCCTCTTAAAAACCTGAGCTAATTGTCCAACTGTTAACCCATTATAACAGACCAGTTGTTTTTTACCAAAGGAGAAAAACAATTATCGACCTCTAACGTTACAAAATAAATTAAAAAAAATAACAAAAACCTAAAAGATTGATTGGCTGCTTAAAGAAGGAGTTGTGTGGCTCATCTTCACTTTCTCCTGGAAAACATGAAACCCACCAAAGGTGGATAAATCTGCAAAGAGGGTCCGGTTCCACCTGTTCTCCACAGTCAACACGGAAGGTCTGTCACAGCTCAGTAACCGGAGCTGTGGAGTCAAAGGTTCGAGTCGATTTATGGCTGAACTGTAACAGAACTCTAGACTTCGGATACTGGGGGAAGCAGAGTCAATAATTTGCCACCAGATGGCCCTGTGGCACTTTTAATCAACCGTCTTGGGGTTTTTCCTGCAATCTGTTGCGCTACCAAGAGGACAACAGAGCACATTACATCTAAATTCCCACTCGAACCATCGATCTGAAGCTGTATCGTGTATTTATATATTTTATATAAAGTATAAAAATATACAGTCGAAATTGCATTGTGACCTAAACCAATACTGTATAATAAATAAGTAAATAGAATTATTATGACCTTCACAGCACAATGTTATAAATTGTCAAAAACACAAAAAGCCAAATGTCTGTAAATGTATTTATAAATTCACAGTGAGTCTCGTCATTCCATTGCATGGAACCATTATTTCTTCACATTAAGGTTGTTTTATTTATTTATTTATTTATTCATTTTTTAATCAACCAGGTGCACGAGTCAAGCAACATGTTTTCCATTCATCTCCCTGCTGCTGGATGAGCAACGCCAGTGATGATGGAGAATGTGTCATTAAATATTTATCTCACCAAATTAGGCGAATGGTGCAACACGGGCTTCTGATTACACACGGTTTCTCACGTCAGCAACAATCAGGAAAGTTGAATTTAAATGACATTTAAACGGAGCCATTTAAAGCTGGTTAGTTAGCTGGTTAGTTAATCATTTTTAACCAACAGGGGCGAGACAGACGAGCGTTGAGTAAGCGTTGAACTTATGAACAATTTTGTACACAGACTCTAAAATCTGTTTGACCATATTGATTAGCCTGCTGTTTTTTATTATCACTTTAAAACCCTCTATTTCACCGTGGCTAATTTAGGACAACTGCAGTCTGGCAGGAAACCGTTCTCACGTCTATTGTCTTCTTTCTCGGAGACCTGGCATTAGGCTGGTTGTTAAGCAGCCACTTGTACATGGAACGGCCTTTTTTTCACACATGGTAATAGTTTATAACAGGAATACACCTTCAAAAACACAGTACTGAGTACTTTCTGTGCCTTTGTGTAACTTCAGGAAAACAATACTTTAAGTATTAATAGTTCTAGTGCTACTATAATTTGGTCCACAGATCAACATTATTCAAACATTTGTAAGATGACCAAAAATGGTGAACCTGGCAAAAGAATGAGAGCATAATTTGAATTTATAAATTCTTATAATAATAATAATAATATTAATTTTACATTTTTAATTTAGGAGAATTAAGAAATAGCATCTAGAGGAACAAGTACGGTTTTGGAGAAATATAGCACAGAGCTCCTCTGTTGTATGAGGTGAACACCTCCAACAACAGCCTAACAAAATGTTACAGATATAAATACAACTTTTTCAGGTGTGAACCCTTCTTTAAAAATGTTACAACTACATTCTAAAAAGTTTTTTTTTTTTTTATTGCAAGAGACACAAAAAATGTTTTATTTACTTTTATTTTTCAAGACCCATAACTTAACAAAAGTCCTCAGAGCTCAGCTACACCCGGCTGATTGAATGCTTGTTTAAGTTGTTTATAAGTTATTTATAAATGCAGATGTAAGGACTGGATGGAGAAGGAGTCAGTCGGTCAGACCAGAGCAGGAGTTCAGGGGAAAGGAGGACAGAGGAGGAAGTGAAAGATTAGGAAATGAAGGAAAAAACATTTAGGAGAGCAAAGGTTTCCTCCATCACTGAGACCACTGTACTGAAATCAGCACTTAGCAACGGCTTCTATCAGAGCCCCTGTTGTCATGGTGACGATAGGGGATATAAAGGTGACGAGTATTTTCCAGCCACTGCCACCTTTACTGACATTAAGCATTTTTGTTTTTTGAAACTGATTAATAATTTTTTTTTCAGCAGTTAGAGACCATCTTTAGACTCAGTACCTTCTTAGGACGCTAACCAGAGTTTGAGAAACATTAAATGAAAATGTGGGGTTTAAATTGTCAGGAGTTATGGAGAAAACAATGTCATAATGTTATGGTGTGTATTTTTAAATCCTTTGCCAGGTCACGGGGGCAGCAGTCTCCACGACCGCCACCCAAATCACACTGCACCGCACAAGCCCCTTGTCAACCTTCATGCAGCTGGTGAGTCCACTGGAAGGTGCCAACCGCCCTAACCGGGATTCAATCATCAGAGACATTGCCTCTGGGCCAAAGCGCCACTGTATTTTTAAATATATATGATATATTTATTAGGGGTGTCAAATTATCACGTTAATTGCGATCAATTAATTGCAGTCATATTTAGCACATTAGGAGACATAAAAACGGAGGAGCGTGTGGGAGTTGTTAACATTTCGAAAATGCCCCGACGGCACCATCGATAAAGGTAGAGGAATGTACCTTCTTTGTAAGAAGGAAATTGCTTACCACATCAATGCAAAGCACCCAGACGTGAGTGCAACCACAGCTAACGTTAGCAGTGAAGACACCAAACTTTAAAAATAAAAATACGAAGTTTTACAAAAAAGTCCATCAACGTTTCACTGATTCCAAATATATTTCCGT